CCAATTAAGTGCTAAAAAGTCACAAATCTCTGTGTGGACTGCTAATACCATACACATCATTCCCAGAAGAACACTCCTAAAATACAGCTCAAATCATGCCATTCTCCTGCCAGAAATCTTTTTCAGCCGTACCTACCTATAGAGGAAAGTCTGGAAATGCTTAACAGGTCTTGCAGTCAGGCCTCTACCTTTCACTCCACCTTCTTTCCCCAAATCTCCCTTCCTACAGCGTCTATCCCCAGTGACTTGAATTACTTGCTTGCCCATGACATGTGTCATTCCTACTACATAAGGGCCTTGTTGCCAATACAGGATCATCCCGTAAAATAAGCACAGCCTTCAAGGTCAAGTCTAAGTTTGAATTTACACTGTTGCCTTGATTAGTTGAAGAAGTTCCTTAACTCCTCTGAACTTTAGTTTTCTCATCTACAAGACGGGAATAATAATTCTTATCTTACGAAAGTGTTACAAGATGTAATGCCTGGTATATGGGAACAACTAGCCAAGGACTCTTATTCATGCTGCCCAACTCCAGTGTTGCTTCCTCCTTTGCTTCTCTCACAGAGAAATGAGCTCTCCCTCTAACATCACATATCATCGCACCTACCTGTCCCACTCTTTTGGCTCTGATCCTTAGCTACTACCTTCCAAGACGGTAATTTCTACCCAGGTTTTGTCTCTCCTACTAGCTGAAGAACTTCTTGAGGGCAGTAATCGTGTCATGTTCTGTCTGTCAGCCATAAGAACAATGGCTTGCACATAGTATGCGCACAAGTATTTTTTGAATGAATGGTATGTGTTCACTGAACTATATATATCGCTTATTAGGAGTCTCATGTTGCCTGGGGATAAAAGCAGGGGCCACGTCACTTGTTGTGAATAATGCCTAGCCTTGGTGTTCAGCAAATATTCAAACAATATCAGGGACTAAAGCTGCCAACATAACATTTTTTTAAAAAAATAGCCAAAGGACAAATAGAAAAGCAGGAGATTTAGCCACATCTCAGAGTGGTGGCATTTTTATTTTGCATTAGTTTAAGTCATCTTGCACTCCAAAACTTATAAATAGGTTATGTTTAAATGAGAGGAGAGAAACAACTTCCCTAAGGTAGACATGTGGGATAGCATTCATAACATCAATGACCTATGAACACAGAGCTAAGTAAGTGTAAGCATTCAAGCAGGAGCTAAATTTTTCATAAGTTAATCAGAACACACAGCTGTGATGAAAACCTTATCTAGAGCTCTATACAAAATAAGACACAAGACAGCAGGCATTTGGCCTAGTGGTTACGACTTCCACATCCCAAATTGGAGCACCTGGGTTCATTTCCCCACTCTGGCTCCTGATTCCAGCTTCTTGCTAACATACTCCCTGGGAAACAGCTGTCAGTGAAGGCTCAATTAATTGGGTGCCTGCCACCAACGCAGGAGACCTGGACTGAGTTCCTAGCTCCCCATTTTAACCTAGGCCATTACAGGCATTCGGGGAATAAAAAAGCAGATAGGAGCTTTCTCTTGCTGTTTGGCGCTCTCTCTCTCTCTCTCTCTCTCTTTCTCTCTCTCTCAAATAAAGAAATAATAACATTTTAAAAGGACTGGAATGGTCAATGACTTCTTTTAGAAAAGAATCAGGGGCTGGCATTGTGTTGCAATGAGTTAAGCTACCACTTGTAATGTTGGCATCCTCAGGCATCCCATATTAGAGCGCCAGTTCAAGTCTGCCAGGGCCATTTGGGGAGTGAACCAAGCAATAGAAGATATCTCCCTCTCCCTCTCTCCCTCTCTCCCTCCCCTTCCCCCTCCCCCTCTCCCTCTCTCCCTCTCTGATTCCCGCTCTTTCTGTCACCCTGCCTTTCGAATAAATAATTTTTAAATTAATTATTTTTTTAAAAAGTTCAGACACAAGCAAGCTACAATGTAAATTCAAGTTCCACTGAGGTTCATGACTTTAAGAAAAGCTGCTACTGCTGCTGTTTTTTGCAACTCTGGTGCACCAAATCTCAATGGTTCCTAGAAATACTACCTAACTCATTTGCCAGTCATGTGAATTAGTTAAATAAAAAGGTGTGCAGCATTCTTGCTGCCTTTCACTACCAGGTTCCAAATGCCATAGCTTCACACACATGCATACAAAACTCATTCCTGGGCCTGCGCTGTGGTGTAGCAGGTAAAGCCGCTGCCTCCAGTGCCCGGCTGTTCCACTTCCGATCCAGCTCTCTGCTGTGGCCTGGGAAAGCAGTGGATGATGGCCCAAGTCCTTGGGCCCCTGCACCCACGTGGGAGACCAGGAAGAAGGTCCTGGCGCCTGGCTTCGGATCAGCGCAGCTCCGGCCATTGCGGACATCTGGGGTGTGAACCAGCAGATGGAGGACCACTCTCTGTCTCTCTGTGCCTCTGCCTTTCAAATAAATCTTTAAAACAAACTCATTCCTGAGACATGCCAATGTAGGAAACGACAGTTTCCTATAAGATCGCAGCCGAAAAAAAAAGTCTCTGCTTCCAACTCTCTTCTATTCATGTATTTCCCTTAAAACCTTCTAGAAATCACACCTTCACAGATATATCAGTAATATATGAAGGTGTATGAGTATTATCAACAACTCACATTGGTTAGCCATTTCCACTTACAAAGCACTTTCATAATCCATTCATTCCTTTGGGCCTCCAAGAACCCTGCCAGGTGGGTACAATTACCCCCAAGTTACAGATAAACCAATCTGTGCCAGATTCCAAGATGGGAAAGCTAAGCCCTGCAACACAGGGCTTCTAACTCTGATTCCAGGGCTCTTTTTTTTTTCTCCTTTTTCCTGTGCACAAAGCAAGAGCACACCTTTGTCTGGCTTCCATCCTCCAGATTCTCAGCAAGTGGCCCAGCTGGCACAGTATGAGGAAGTAGAGTGGGAGTATAAACATTACTGTGGTCAAGACAGTGGGAAACATCCCGCCTTCGCCCCTAGCTACTTGGGGTTTTAGAATGCATGCAATTTAAGAGGAAAGAAATGCAGTGTGGGTTAGCTGCTGACTTTTATTTCCTACCTGTCCTATTTCAGGCTCCCTCTGTATACTCAGAAAACCACGACACATGTCAAGGAAACCGCCCCCCCCTCCCTGGGCCTAGAACATCTCTTGGCCCAAGTGGCAAAATGTAGGCCTGTTTAATTGCTGATTCTTACTATTTTTAATGTCAGAAAAGAATAAAAACCCCTGGCTTACAAAAATGCTGACCCTTTCTCCAAATGTTTTACTGAACTGCTTGTCTTCTTACAAATTGGAATATCTCTGATAGGCTGGAGCTGATCATATTTTTAGCACAAACACTTTCAGCTAATCATCCACTTGACAAAGCCACTCCCTTCCCAGGCCTTATGCTACACTTCATTTGACGGTGGATACTGCACTGAGCAGCTTGATGCAATAAGTAAACAACAACAGCGAGCAGGGACATTCCCCCTTTCCTTCTCAGTGAACCCTCAGCTTTCTGCTGATCTTTGTGCCATAAGATGCACATCCTTAACCTCTCAAGGTATGCTATTAGGTGGAGAACACTCCAAAGCGTGGCCCGTAAGTCTCTATAAAGAAGAGCATTCCAAATGCCCCATATTTAAGGGGCTACCAGGAGTTTTCTTGGAGAGGCCACAGCAGGACAAACCATTAAGTGCTCAAACGCAATGAAATGACCTGCAAAAGCATGGACACTGACCAAAAGTGGACAGACAACATGTGCCGGGGATGCACAGACTCTAAGGGGCAAATCAGAAGAGCTACACACAAACCCAGCCGGCAGCAGTTCCCGCCACACTACAGCTAGAAGGCTTTCCTCCCTGCTCTGGGTTGGCTGCATCGGCCTTACGAAGGCCCCCACGCTGCACCCAAAAACAGTATGCAGGAGATAAATCCACCCAAAATAGACTTGTAAGAAGACATGACATATTAGCCAGTGACTCTGACTTGATTTTTCACAATCATCTTTCAGCCAAGAAGAGAAAAAAATTAATGATCACTCCACCCAATCATCACCCTCCATTCTTCGGGTTATATACTTTGGCACACAAGGGTTGGCTTGCTTTCACTGTTATTGGCGATGTTTATTATTCTTTCTTTTACTCCAAGCCTCTTGCCAAGCAGCAGAAATAAAACCTCCAGACATGGTGAAGGGGTGGGGAGGGGAGGGCTAGGGAGGGTCCCACAGCTGAGTCAGCTGCAACCACTGGAAAAGCCCACCTGGGGAAGACTCCTTCAGCACAGCAAGCCCCAGCCCTGGATGTATACTGGACTCCCTCAGAGTGGGGCTCCTTCTGCCAGGGAGTAAGCAGGTCTTTGTTCCACGCTTAAGCAGAATTCACTGGCACGTGAAGCCATTCAATAATCCTAAACTTAGACTGACCTTGACCTAAGCCACAGCTCAGTATATTAAAGTAAAAAAGAAAAAGAAAAAAAATCACTGGCGCAAAGGTGCTTTCTTTAGAAAATAACTTACCACGGGGGATTCTTTTCCTGCCTGCACAATTATCTGTAGCAACCAGCGGCTAGGACAGAATCATTATTCAAGCTGCTGGCCTAAATTCCCAATTCTTTAGGAAGTGCTGGAGCAGCTCCTTGGCGAGCGCGGATGCCACCTTGCCCCCCAAAGAAGGGTGCTGCACATGGCCAACAGTACAAGACTGCCTTTCAGAATGAGCAACCATCTGCCCAGTAAGAGTAACCGCAGAGCAAGAGGGTCCTTGGCATGGCTACAGACCATGTCTCCTAAGGTCAGGGCCACTACGAGCAAAGGCCCAAAGTTCTAGTCGCATCCAGCAGTTTCCATTTCTACTGACACCCCCCGCCCCCACTGTCCCCTCCCAACCCGCAGCTCCTCAAGAGTCAGAAAGCCATCTGCCTCAGAGACCTGGGCTAAGAGTCACCCCGAACCCTCCACTTGCCCCTGTGGTGTGCAAAGGTTGAAAGGCCAGAGCCACTGGCTCAAGGAAACAGCGGCACGGAAGCCCTCCACTTACTTCTCATAGCGCAGATAAGCGCGTTGCCGTCTTTGATCACGTCTTTGATGAATTTATTGGTCCTCTCCAGCTCTTGCTCATAACACTTGAGCCTTTCCCGGAAATCGGGGCTGTCCAGGTAGCAGTCGCTGAACTCCAGCGGAGGATGCCCCATAGTTCTGATGGCCCGGGGTGAGGGGAGAGAGAGGAAAAGACACAAAGACCCGGAGCATCAGTGACACAGGAGAGGGAGTAGATGGGTGGGCTGAACGCGGGACCCGCTTAAAGGAAACTCCCAGCCTCCCTCCCTTTGGAGGACAGGTACCTGTTCCAGTGGGTCTCCTGGGGAGCGCTGCCGGGTGCGGAGGAAGAACGGGCGGCCGGGCGGCTGCTTCAGGTGATGGCGAGAGCTAACTAACGCAGTGAGATCCCGGCGGAATGACGCCTAGCTAGCAGCATGCCCCCTAGGCATCGCCTCCCGGCTGGGCAGCAAAAAACCGCAGCCCCGCTCCCTCCAGAGACGGCCCGGATCCTTCCTGGGCTGTTGCAAACGTGACACTTGGGCCCGCCCAGGGTGTAGGCGGGGGTGAGCGCTGGGATAGGGAGCCGCCTCTCTTCCTCGCTCTCGGCTCTCAGGCTAGCAGGAGATTTCCTTTGCCGAACTCCGCGGGCAACCGGGATTGCACTGTCCCCTCCCCCTTCTTAAAGCCAGCGCGTCCTCCGCGCCCGGAGCGAAGCCCGATTCCCGAGCCCGAACCCTGGGGCTGCTTTTGCAGTTGTCTGCCTTGGACCCTAGGGTTGCGTTACCAAAGCCCGCCGACTGCGGGGAGGTCTTCCTAGTCCCAAGGAACCGGCCTGCTGTCTGGTTAGGCGCCGGAAGGGTTAAGCTGGGGCGGCTAGAAAACGTAGTCTTCTCCCCCAACCCCTTAGACACCGGAGCGGGAAGAGGAGGGCGACAGCGCGACGCACAATAGCTGCGGTAGCCCGGCGCTTCCCTACGGAAACTGGGGAGCAGTCAGCGCCCTAGGACTCCAGCTGGAAAGCGTGGCGGCCTGGGAGATGTAGTCTTTCCGTTCGAACGCCCCATGACTCCTCCCTGCGGTCTGCCTACCACCCCGCCCGGACGGCCGCTCTCCCAGGACGGCATTCCCAGCCTGCTGCACGCTCGCTCGCTTGCTGCTGGCTCGCTGCTGGCTGGCTCACAGGGCCCAGCTCCGAGGGGCAGGTGCCCCTGGCTGGCGTCGGCTTGGAAAGCTTCGGAAACTGGAGCAAGAACCCAGGAGGGATCCAGAGTGGGAGGCTGTCTTTCACTTCCCATTATGTGGCTGGACAGTGTATTCTTTTTCCTTCCTCTCTTTCCAGCCGACCTACCCATGTCTTTTCCTCTTTCCTTTCTCCTGGCTCCTGGTTCAAGCTCTTTCAGCCCCTGGGGTCTTCGACCTGAGTAGGGCCTCAGATCATGGTTTTTGTGACCCAAATCATTGCAGGGGTTTCCATATATAAGTGGAAAATGTAAAAAGAACATGTGAGGGGCCAGCGCCGTGGCTCACTAGGTTAATCTCCACCTGCGGCGCCGGTGTCCCATATGGGCGCTGGTTCTAGTCCTGGCTGCTCCTCTTCCAGTCCAGCTCTCTGCTGTGGCCCGGGAAAGCAGTAGAAGATGGCCCAAGTACTTGGGCCCCTGCACCCGCATGGGAGACCCATAAGAAGCTTCTGGCTCCTGGTTTTGGATCGGTGCGGCTCCAGCCATTGCGGCCATCTGGGGAGTGAACCAGCGGAAGAAAGACCTCTCTCTCTCTCTCTCTCTCTCTCTCTCTGTGTGTGTGTGTGTGTGTGCGTGTAACTCTACCTCTCAAATAAATAAAATCTTAATAAAAAGAAGATGTGATCACTTGGCTTGCAGTTTGTCTAAGAGGCCTCTTGTCCAATGTCCAGTGTAGGAGATTCAGTGTACATTCAATTGCCCAGTGAAGAAAGCCAAGGAAAGCCAGAACTGAAGGGGCTGCAAATAGAGTGATAGTGGCTAAGGCACCTGCATTAGTGTTCTGTAGCAAATTACCACAAGGGTGGTGGCTTAAAACAACAGAAAGTCATCTTCCAGTTCTGAAAGTCATTAATCAGATAGGGATTTCACTGGACCAAACTCAAGACATCAGAAGAGCTGTGTTCCTTTCTGGATACACAAGGAAGAACCCATTTTCTTTTTCCAGCTTCTAGAATCTGCTCACATCCTTTGGTTCGTGGTCCCCTTCTTGCATCTTCCAGGCTAGCAGGGGCCAGCCAAGTCTGTCTCACAATGCATCACTCACTCCACCTTTGATTCTCCTGCCTTCTCCTTTCACTTATAAGGCCCTTTATAATTATTGGGTCCACAGGATAATCCTCCCATCTCGTGATCCTTAATCATGCCTGCAAATCCATTTTGCCATATAAGATAGCATATTCACACGTTCCAGGGATTAGGCATTTTAAGGATTTTATTTTTTTGCAGGAGGTGAGGGTGGGGGAGAGTGAGCATTATTCTCTACCTATACCACCCACCTCATTAATCTTCAAGAGGACCCTATAAGAACCATGTTATTATACCCACTTAAAGATGGGGAAGCTGAGTCAAAGAGAAGTTAAATGATTTGCTCAAGGGCGCACAGCTAATTAAGTGACATCCCTTGAACTTGAGCCTGGCCTGGCTAGTTCTAGAGCACTTATCTATCACACTATATCACAGACTTTTACAGTCAAATGAGTGAACACCCTCCCAAAATTAATCAGTAACCACATCCCAAAAGAGAATTGTGTTTCCTACTCTTTTTATCTTTAAAGTTAACTTATGACATAACGTCCAAATTGGGTTTTAAACACACCATGAGTTGAGGAATACCTGTACTAAGAGAAGATGTCCAACAAATGGGTATATATCTTCTTACTATAGCAAGGTTCCTCAGCATTCACTCACTCATTCAATAAGCATTTTTGGAAAAAAAAAAGTTACCTGCTTTGACTTATAGAGTCCATACACATGCTTTCTTTTTTTTAAAGATTTATTTATTTGAAAGGCAGAGTTACAGAGAGGGAGAGGCAGAGAGAGAGGTCTTCCATCTGCTGGTTCACTCCCCAGACTTGGGCCATCTTCTACTGCTTTCCCAGGCCATAGCAGAGAGCTGGATCAGAAGTTGGAGCAGCCGGTGCTTGAACCAGCACCCGTATGGGATGCTGGCACCACAGGCAAGCAGCTTTGTCCGCTACGCCACAGCCCTGACTCCATATGATATTTTTTATTTTACGAGTGCCTAGACTAAAACAGAGCTGCAGGGCTGGGCATGCTGCAGTGTGAAGTCAGCTGCTGTAGTATCATTACCCTGACTTTATGTGTGAGAAAGAACAAGCTCAGAGAGCCCCAATAACTGCCACTTTCATGCAGCCAGTAAGGGTTAAACAAACCCCGCTAGTTAGACGCAATAGGAATCTGTGATACTACAATAGACACGTGTGCACGTGCACACATATGCAGGGTTTACCACCGTTTTACAAGCAACAGGAATCCCATTTGAACAATCTGGGGTAATGGTAAGGTTCTACACCATAGTACGTGCTTGTATCACAGGGATGTAAGCATTTGTCAAAATACAAGATGTTTCACTTCACTCTATGTAAATTGCACCTCTTAAGAGGAAAACTGTGAACACAAATGGAACTCTATTAATAATATGCATGAGGAAGTATTTAAAGAAAGAGAACTAATGCCTGCACTATACTCTGAAATGCATAGAAAGTAAGATGGATTGATATATGGGTAAGAAGGATAATTAGATGAAGAGATTTGTGAAGTAAATTCTTTTCATTTTGCTGTTTGAAATTTTTCATAGTAAAATTTTGAGGTAGTAAAATTCCATTTCCCATGTTTTTATTGTACATCAAGGTAACACCACCCCCACAGTCACCCCTGCAGTCCTAAGCCATCACTCTATTTCAGCTGTGACACTATGGAGAGAACGGTGAGTTTGGAGCAATACACATAATACAGACGTGAAGTCTAGTCTAACTCCACACCTTAGAAGTTCTGTGACCTTGAGCAAGTCATCTAAACTCTTCTCACTTGGAATAATAGCTTCACAAATCTGTCTAAGTATTAATTGTAGGTAACACATGTAGATATGCTGACATACCGGCCGGCGCTGCGGCTCACTTGGCTAATCCTCCCCCTGCGGCACCGGCACCCCAGGTTCTAGCCCAGCCATGCCAGTTGTAGACATTTGGGGAGTGAACCAAATGTCTACATTGGAAGATATTCTCTCTCTCTCTCTCTCTCCCCCCCCCTCCCCCTCCCTCTCTTCCCCCCCGCATCCCCGTCTCAGCAGATAGAAGATCTTTCTCTCTCTCTTTCTCCCTCTCCTTCTTCCTCTCTCTCCCTTGCTCTGTCACTCTGCCTTTCACGTAAACAAATATTTTTAAAAATGAAAGCAAAGCTGCTTTTATTATCAAACACCACATACAATTATGCAATTCAGATGTATTAGATTCATAAATGTGAAGAGTAATCTATTTTTAAGAAGAAAATACGAGAATACTTTGTGATACACAAATGGTAAAGGACTTTTTAGTCCACATCATGACAAAAACAACTAATATGTTTCATTACATAAGAGTTAAGGATTTCAAAATCATGTATAAAGTTAATAGGCTTATGAAAAATCAGTAGAGGATATTTCCAGTGTTTAAAAGCAACAAGGAAGTAATTCTAAAATATGCCAGAAGTTGCAAATCAATAAGAAAAAAATTGGAATCTTGATTAAAAATGGGTAAAACATATAATCAGGCAGTATATAGAAGAGTAAATCCAAAGAAGATGAAGAACATTTGAAGAGATGCTTGAATTTATTAATAATCAGAAAATTACAAATTGAATTAACAATGAGAAAATTTCTTCTCCGATTAAGAGAAACTAAATAATTCAAACCAACACTTTTCCTAAGGACAGCTAAAAATGCTGAACAAAGTAAGAGAAAAAAATCTATTTTCTTAAAGATAGAAAGAGCTTGGCCGGCGCTGAGGCTCACTAGGCTAATCCTCCGCCTTGTGGCACCGGCACACCGGGTTCTAGTCCTGGTCGGGGCGCCGGATTCTGTCCCGGTTGCCCCTCTTCCAGGCCAGCTCTCTGCTGTGGCCAGGGAGTGCAGTGGAGGATGGCCCAAGTGCTTGGGCCCTGCACCCCATGGGAGACCAGGAAGAAGCACCTGGCTCCTGGCTTCGGATCGGCACAGCGCGCTGGCCGTAGCGGCCATTGGAGGGTGAACCAATGGAAGGAAGACCTTTCTCTCTGTCTCTCTCTCTCTCACTGTCCACTCTGCCTGTCAAAAAAAAAAAAAAAAAAAGATATGCTGACATACACTAATCCCTCCAGAAGTGTTGGTTGACAACAGTTCTTCTTTATTGTTCTTGTTCTGATGGTTAGTACCACATGCAGAAAGGAGTCAGATTGTCCACAGTGATATTCCTAGAAAAACATTTCCATTTATATCACAGCACAAGTTGATCCCTGTTCATCATCTTCATAGGAAATTTAAAAGCATGCTTCTGCTCAAAAGGAATTTACATTTTGAATCAAATAGAAACTCTAGTCTGGTTTGTGGTCTTGGTATTATGCTCTCTCAACTTTCAGAACGTTCATAGGGTCTGAAGCACAACATGTGGTCAATACCACCATTTGAGGTTTCAAAACCAAAACCTGAAATCCTAGAGTCAATCACTTTAGCAGACTTCTCTAAGGTGGAACCCCAGAACAGCTGTGAGTTGTGATTCTGATCAGTTCATCCAGTTTGATCGAGTCATCTGGCTCAGATCTTGACACTATTAGCTTGCTGTGTCTGCCAGTCTATCCTGCATGCTGGAATCAGAACAATGGATGGGGTCAATAATGTCAGAATCTGCCTCCTGTAAATTTGAAATCACTTTTACAACTTGAAAGAAATAGAGAAAGTAAGCAGGTGTTATAGATTTTGACAAAAGGCCATGTACCTGCCTAAGAGAGTTAAATAACTATCCAACATTAACTTCCC